AGGTGAATTGAGGTGTAAAGACCCACTCTAAGTGTGACTGGCTGAGGTCCTGGACTGAATAAACAGAACACAGTGAAACAAGGGAAAGCATCCATCACTCACCGCTTCCTGGCTGTGCATGCAACGTGCCCAGCTTCTCAAGGTCCTGCAGTCACGACTGTGTACACGCAAACTCTAAGCAGAAATAAACCCTTCCTCCTCCAGTTGCTTTTTGTCAGGTACGTTTGTCCTAGCAATGCATAAAGAAACTAGTACACTAGGTAAGTTGTCTATTTTTTTTTCCTTAGGTGTTTATTTGGGGCTCTGAAGGTAAGCAGTTGGGAATATGGACTGAATCAGGAAGTCACTGCCCATTAGTTTGATGAAGTAGGAAAAAAGACAACAGTTATACGTGCTGGGAAAGGAAGCCAGAAACATGAAGCAAGGTCTGGGAACTGAGGTAGCATGGGATTTACAGAAACGTGTAACTAGTTCTAGCTGTTAGCTCAAAGGTAGAGGCAACCTCAGACCATGTGAACCCTTTGTTATGCTCTGGAGTTTGAGCTTCTATGAAGCACCATAATTTAACACCATAAGCAGGGACAGTGCCATGACCAGATTTGTATTTTACATAATTGTTTTGTTCTTTTCCTTTCTAGTAGGTGGTTGAACAATACAAGGGTGTTATTAAATATTGATATTCTTATTAAGCAAAAACCAACACTTAATATTTAATTTTATATACACATCTGTCTCCCAATTGGCTAGTTCCTCCAAGGGACAGGGCCTGCCGCAGGGCGTGGACTACTGAGGTGTGGCTGGGAGCCATTTTGAGACTAAAGCCCGGCGCTGGGAGGAATACACATGGCCATGGGTGTGGAGAGAGAGATGGCCCCAGCACCTCACCCGCATGGATGGGAGAGAGGGCATTTACCATCCTGGGAGGAGACCGTGGGCCCCGAGATGCCTGGGCGAAAGTGAAGGAAGACTATGGGCGGGGCTGCGGGAGCATCTGATGGCGGGCTCTGAGCCGCAGAGCAAGAGTGCTGGTCTCTGTAAGTTCCCCAATTTACCCCCTCCCTACCCGAGGGCATAAACCATAATGAACTCACATAAAGATACGTCATATGGTTTGCTTGATAGTGCAGGAGACCCAGAGGGAATTCGGGTGACAACGTCTTTTTAAAGAGGTCTTGCTATGCTCATTAGGTTGGCCTCAACCTTCCTATGTAGCCCAACCTGGCTTTTGAACTCATGATCCTCCTGCCTTAGCCTGCTAAGTGCTGAGATTATAGGCATGTGACACTATCCCCAGTTTGAAATGAAGTTTTTAATTTGTGTGTATTTATTAAATGTCTATCATTATAGCTAGACCATAGATCTTGAAGCCAGACAACCTAAAATCCTGTCACAGCTCTACTAGGCAAGTTACTTAATCTCTCAAGTTTTCAATTTCCTTATCTCTAAAATGGACCAAACTTGAGAGCTATTGTGAACATTAAATTAGTTGATAAATACTAACGTTTGGGAAAGTGTCCCACATGTAGTACTTACTGTTTTGTGTTATCTGTTTTAATGTTGTTATCAGCTATTAGTTTTCCTCATACTCAACATTGTCATCATCACCATGATGGTCCAATGTTTGTGGAGGGTTAGGATGAAGAAAATAATACTAGTAATCAAGTAAGAAATGGAAATAATACATTTCTCTATTTTCTCAATCTCATCATTTATGTACACACACATTTACCTATATGCATTTCTGCATATATGCATACATAGCTATTTATATATCATAGTGATATAAACCTATATACATATGCACTCACACGGGTATGTGTGATAATTAATATTGTCAATCTGATAGGTTCTAGACTCACTTTAGACACAGATCTCTGCGTATGTCCTTGAGGGATAGTCTAGATTAGGTTAATTGAGATGGGAAAACCTACCCTAAGCAGAGGCTGTACCAGTCCCTAGGCTGGGGAGATGCAATAAAAAGGAGAAAGGTAGGCAAGTGTCAGTATTCCACTCTCTCTACTTCCTGACTGCAGATTCAAGACTTGTATGCCATGATGGATTGCACTCTCAAACTGTGAGCCAAAATAAACCTTCCTCATTTAAGTTATTTATTTTTGCCAGGTATTTTGTCACAGCAACAGGAAAGTAACCAATACAATCTGTGTGTATAAAGCTACACCATTATTAATCTTGTTTTACAGAAGAAACTGAAAGTCAGGAAAAACTAGGTTGCCTAAAGCCACATCGTTTGTAATTGGCAGAGGCTGTACTTAAGCTATATCTTCCTAAGTTTAGACTATTTTGAGCACAGTTCCACATCTCTGGTCTCTGAAAAGCAAGGCATACAAGAAGTTATTTTGAAAAAATGGGAAAAAATATGCAGCATTGCACCTTAAGAAATGATGTGGAACTGAGAAGAAAGCTCCCTAGGTTCCTTGCTGTGTCTTGCTGATGATTGGACATGTCCTGTTGTACAAAGTGCTTATCTTTCCTGAGGCCTCAATTTCCTCTTGAGAAATGAGAGGTTTAAAATAGCTAATCTCGAAGGTTGCTTCTGGTTCTCAAGAGGAACTGCTGGCTTCTGAAAGGCAGTGTTTCTACAAGGGGGACAAATACTCAGCATTCCACCCGTTGAGAAGGAACGTTGGCATTCTCTTTTTGAGTAATAAAAAAAGCAGTAGCCCTGTCACTCTTCAGGTCTTACTTAGCACAGGCGTCTTAGCTGCCCTGGAGCCTGGTCTTCATACCATGGACATTTCTATGTGCAGTAGATACCGTAGCTTAATTACAGATTGATCTAGGTAGGTAGATTATACCCACATAATGTAATCTTTGGGCTCCTTGTTAAACAGGGATGGGCATGGGAGGGGTGCTTGGTAGCATTGTTGGCCAATGCTCTCCCCTTCCTGCCTTTAAGTTTTCAGTATTGGATAATTTAGAACTAAGATTTCTTTCTGTCCTCTGGGAAGAAGTCTGGTAATGAGTCTTTGATGCTGTAAGAAGGATGCTATTTATTTTCCTTTAGCTTACTTTGTCTTAGGCCAGAGCCGACAGCCATGGCTGCTGCTCGTCTGACTATACAAAGACACAGTGTACAGCCCGAAGTTCCAATTCCTCTTTTCCTGATCTCTTAGAACAAAAGCTGACAATGATATTATGCATATCCATGCAATCATATCTGACTTAAGTCTTATCTATCAGAAAGTACCAAGCTGAGGCTTACTAATTTAAGAGATGGGATGGATAAGCTAATGTTTTGAGTATGCCTTTGTCTAGACCAAGCAGCTGGAGGCCTCCAGTCCCTTTTACTGGTGCTCTAATGACAGGCCCACCCAATCTCCTACATGTTATGGACTGCTGTGTCTTTTGGCCTGGAATTTACCACTGGGGTTAGCTAAAGCTACTTGGTTTCTGGGGGCAGAGGGTTTCTGAACTGCCTCCTTTCTCTTCTTACAGCTTATCCCCTGGTATGTAAGATGCTAGTACTTTGGAACAACAGGGGCTGTGGCCCATGGTGACTGATGCTGCCAGGCAAGCCCACGGTGATGGCGATGACGGCGGCTTGTTGGCAGGGAACAGTTTAGTCTAGGACCACACGGAAGGCAGGCATGTTGACCGCACAGCATCAAGCAAAGAAAATGAGATTTTCTGCCTTGGGTTTGTTGGGTTAGGATGGGAGGAGTGAGAGAAGGGGGTGTTGTGGAAAGTGCCAAGCTGGGCTGTTGATGAGAGTGTGGGAAGATTCAAGAAGAGGAAAAAACAAGAGGAGGCTCAATGCCAGCTGAGAGGGCCGTTGGGTTCATCTTCCTCCCTTTTCTGCTTGAGTGAGAAAGCCTGCTGGGTGGGGTGGGAGTGGGGCCAAGAAAGGAATGATTCTGCTGGGTGAACAGGGACGGTCAGACCTGGCAAGGTTGTGTCTGCCAGCTGGCGTCAGAGACGGGGAGGCAGAAGACATGAAGGGGAGCAAGATAAGAGACAAGAATAAAAGAACCAGACAAGGCACAAGAAAAATGTTCTATCGGAGGAGAGAAAAGAGAGGAAAAGAAGAATCAGGTGCAGAGGGGTGAGCCATGTTTCTGGGATGCAGCCCAGGCCTCCTAGCCAAATGCCAGAACAAAGCAACATTATATGAAAAAACCCTGAATGTGGAGTGTGGTACACAAGGAAGCAGGCCTCCTGCTCCCACATGTTCCTGGAGGGTGGCATTTCCACGGGAATACAGCTTTCTAAAACAGCAAACCATAGAATGCCGAAAGCTGTTGTTTGGGGTGGAAACCAGAATGCCATCAAATACAGGAAAAAAAAAGCAATCAGAGACTACTTGTAAATATTATGACTAAAATACAAAGCAGAGCACGAGAATCCTTAATGCCTTGTTACAATGGAAAGGTTAGCAACCCGTGGAGAGGCAGAATCGTAAATGTCAAAGAAGTGACTTCCACTTTGAGGTGATGGCACTTCAGAATGTTTTCATGTCTTTTTGTGGAGTCTTGTGACAAGCTAAAGGATCATCAAGTGAATGCTACAGGTTTTGTGACAACTGGACAAGTGTTTGTGGACCAAGGGCTGGAATCCCACTGACTTCAATTTCATAGAGAGATTGAGGCATATTTTAGCTTTAGGTACCTAGAATATACAGTAACTGCAAATAAAAGACACCAAGCTCTCAGTTCTGAGGTCTTGCGAGTTCTTATTTTTCTTCCTTCAAGTCTGCCACCCACAAGCCCAGACTAGCCTGTCAGAGTATGAGAAGCTCCATAAAGGAGAGCCTGCCTTGTCTCAGGAGATGTCATTTTAACTAGTCCAATTAGCTGACTCCAAAGCATATCAGAGAACTCAGCTAAGATCCAACCTACCCCATAGCTGAGACCAAAGGCATTGCCCAGTAAACCCAGAGACTTATAAGCAATTATAAACACTTTTGAAGTCATTCAGTTTCAGGCTCATTTGTTACACAGCAACAGAGAACTGATATAGTCAGACCCAAACCACAGACTCACCTGTGCATTCATGCTGAAGACCTTTGCCGTAATATCCCTTTTCACAGATGCATTCAAATTGACCTGTGTGTGTTCCACATTTGCAGCTGGCCATTTGGTCACAGCAATCTTTTCCGGCTTCACAAAGATACGAACAGTGGGACATATCCTCTTGAATAAAACTCCCAGAAGGTAGATCTACCAAGAACATATGACATAGAAATAAGGCAATTATTGCCTTGTTCTGACTTTTTTCCAGTTCCTTGTCTAGAGCTTAAAATGCTAATTACTCTTGCCTTTACTTCTCCTTCACATCTCCTATTTACCAGTCAAGCACTTTCTTTTCCCCCTACAGACAAGAGTTATGCAATTTGGGAGTCTTTTAGATAGACCCACTGAAGGGGTACCCCAAGTGCCTCATCCTGTCCCTGTTCATCATGGAAGAAGCTAGAGCAGTCTGTGACCTAATTCCCTATTCACAATTTGGGTAACCTCTTCAGAGGATGGTGTGATAAGAATAGGAGGTAGGAA